CTAATAAACATTGCTGGACTGAATTTACATGGTCTCTTGGAGTTCCTTGGGCTAGGCCTAACAGATAGTCCCCTTTCACTTTTATTTTCTAAGAACATTTTCAGAGGATATGGAGGATCCAGAAGCAAGACTAGAAATAAAGTTTATGCTTTTTAAGGGAGGGGAAAACAGGAAGTTATACTGCAAAGCAAAAAGCATAAACTTTATTTCTAGTCATGCTTCTGGTGGGGCATGAAGCCTGGTGGGCATCAATAATGAGGTCTGCAGGGACATGGGCATTCATTGGCACCATGTTAAAAAAAAAAAAAGCTTGTTGCATATGAGCCACAGCTTGAAGGAAAATCTCTGCTCTCTGAAGCAAATTATGCCATAACCTCTTAAGTTGTTTGCAAAACTAAACAGAATTTAAAAGAAATCTGTGCAGCTCTAAAATACATGTCAGCATTCTCATCCACAGAAGGTCTCCAGCTATACAGATACTCCACTAAATGCTTTAAATTATCAATTATTTTGAAAGTGATGCACACAGATTCCATTAACACATACCTGACCATTCCATTTCCTAAGCCATTTACCATTTTTGAAAATGTTTGTTCCAGAGGCTTTTCTGAGCCTTTCTGGTTAATCTGTAAAGGAAACACAGAACAGTTACATACAGCATCAGCAACAACATGAATTCTTGGATGCAGAATTAAATTAAAATCCTACCAGATTAACAATCATTTGTTTTCCATAACTAATAATCTGCGAGTCAAAGTGTCTTTGGAAGCCATCCATCTAAAAGAGAATACGATACATATCTTAAACAGCTGTCACAGAAGAATTCTTTAGAACAGAAATGCAAACTGGCCTATACTACATGAAAATAACAGAAATATTATGATGAACATAATATACATTTTGAATTGCGTTTGAATTAAACAAATTGCACAACTTTTTCACAAGTGTAGCAGATGGCAGGATTCCTAGGTGGACAATGTTTATTCATGCCAGTTATATTCTGAAATTAATCTTTGACTGAACTTTTGTTCTTTTAGTTACTTCACAAATTTGCCTATGAAGTTACAGATTCATCTGCTATAAGTCAGATAAAAGGCTTGGGGATGGGGATGGGGGGCAATGAGAAAAACCTTTAAATTCCTAGGTGTAACATCAATTTAAAACCTTTTTACTGTGGAGAGCAAGATTTTCTTGACTTAACATCACCCTTCTGGATGTTTAGGACTGTAACTCACAGAATGTTCAGCTTGTAAGGGTTCTATGCACAACATAACTGGAGGATGCCTCATGGGAACGACTAAACTATATAACTTCAGGAATCTTCCAGGACTAAACTATATAGCTTCCAGGATGTTACTGGAAACAGAAGACCTTTGCAGCCCAAAAAATATAACATCAGTAGTTTCACAAATGAAAGTTCAGCTGCCCAATGTAAGTGGCTGCGCACAAGTTATTGAACTTTTATACTGGGGCCTCACAATGTGAACAGAGCTTTAAGGAGACAGAAGAAGATGGCATGTTAAAAATGTTTAGCATCACTTAACTGCCTAATTTCAAGGTCAGGGGGATGAAGTCTCATTTTGTTAATGTTAGGTGAATGTGCTAATGCATCAACCTTTGTAATTTTCATATGACATTACATATTTAGTTCAATATTGTTTTAGGCAATGGTTTCTGGGGACTACTAGTGAACTACAAGGGTACTGCAAAAGGTCCCTGAAGTGGGTGGCCTTTCAAGATAGATAGATAGATAGATAGATAGATAGATAGATAGATAGATAGATAGATAGATAGATAGATAGATAGATCGTGAGATCCAGCAATCTCATGAAATTTCAACATCTGAAAAAGAATTGATGTTTATTTAATTTTGGAGCCCTGCAGACATCATATTCAAGAGAGACTTGCATGCCATGCTGCTGCAGGTCTGACATTGCCAACTCCTGACTTGCATGGTAGTCTTCAGAAGTTTCTGATGTTGATATAGTGGGCCACAAAAAGGTTGGGAAACAGTGCCTTAAGTTACTACACATTATTTAAGCAACCAACGTAAGACAGTTTGCATATGTATATGGACACTGTACATTAAACCTCACCTACAGAAGGACAGGAAAAGATACAAAAAATACACACATGATTTATTGTTTTGCTGATCTGTGGCTTTGGTTTATATTTGAGGTTTGGTCTCTGTGACCAGAAGAATGGAATTGATCCACGTGTCTGGAAAACAAAGGTAATAAGAAGTTAAACTTACAATAAAATCATGTTGTTAGCATAACCTCCCAAGTCATTTATTGTAAGATAAAATACAGAGGCCTGTATTAAGAGGGTAGGGGGTAAAGATTAAATTCTGTAAGACAGTCTAGTCAAGCATCCCAATATAATAAAAAGTACCTGGACAAAAGAAGCTTTGCTTCCATTGTAATGTACAATTTGTTCTGTTTCTACAAAGTTAGCTGCATGTCCTTCAGAATCAATACCTGTGAGACAGGAAGCATTTAAAAATACAGAACAAGCCTTGTTTATTACTGTCAAGTCTAGCTGAAAGCCATTTTTGTAACACCTTCCATAAAGTGAGATGAAACCAGCAAAACCAAAGTGTATCATAGAACTGCTTAAAATGGTAAGCTAACCTATTTCTGTTACAGGACACAGTTGTTGTTTCAGAACTATGAGGTTTAAGTAGCTACGATGGGAAATATTTCTCTACCAATTAACACATAACAGAAAATGATAATCCAGAGAACTGTAAAACTGCCTTCTAGGCATGCCACTTTGGAAAGAAATTGGGAAAAGAAATGAGATAGCAGTAGCAGCCCGACAGCAGGGGTTTGTTCAAAGAAAAATAAAGGTCACTAAATATATTTGAATGCCTCTTCAGCAACAGAAGGATGAAAGTTACCTCCTCCTTATCCATCCCTCAGATCCACTTCTATATTTTGATTTTGATTTCCACCCATCCTTTTTTCAAAGAGCTCAGAATTCATTTTGGGAAAATTAAGAAAGGCTAGGCATTTGTCATTTTTATAAGCTATAGCACATACTTAATGGATAAGATATAAATATAAACATATATAAAAGCAATCCATAAAATTTGCTACTTAGCCTTAACCAATATGAAAATGAATCAGCACAGAAAAGTATTAAAAGTACTACAAGAATTCTCTAGCAAAATATCTCTTGGTGCTGGCAGAAGAGTGCAGCTAGTTTAACAGAGTAGCTCATAAAGTGCAATTTTTGCTCATATTCATGTAGCAGCTGCGAAGATATCTTACCCCTCACATAGTAGCGGACACCAGCTCTGAAACAGCTTCTTCGAGAAATTAGAATCCAGTCAAAGTATTTGCCATTAATGGAACAAGAGTGCATAATAATAACTGATGCAAAACAGTGATTAAGGAATACATGTTCATACATGTTCAATGGGCCTTACTTTTTGATGAGTGCACATGACTGCAGCTTTGGACATGAAATGGTTCACAGTGATCAAAGAAGACACTCTAATATGATTATTACCAGAGTGTTACTGATTCCCATGGAAATGTAAGGGATCTTTTCCAAAAACAAGAAGAAAATGCCTTTTTTTCCCATGCAAATGTTTAGACAAGATAATCTGGAGTTTGGCAACAAGAACTATTGTAAGCTCAAAATCACCAGTTAGCTAATGAACCAAAACCAATGAGTCATATTTTGATCCCTGAAACAAGGCATTAAAGCAATAAAATTCAATCTCACTGAACGGAAGCCAACATGTTTTCATAAACTAAAACTAGTACTAGCGTTCAGAATTTTTAAAGAATATGCACGACATAAAAAAAAATAAATAACCAACCCAAGTCCAGTATTTTTGAGGTTCACACATTTAAACCAGTACAAAATTAAGAGCATAGTCAAATATCCCACTAAAATGAAAAGGCTCCGGTCTGACAGATGAAGGACCAAGACTGGTAGACCACATAACCAGGAAGATACTCTGGTTAAATTAAGCAAATATGAAATATATGAAGACATGTATTTATTTATTTGTTAGATTTATATCCTGCCTTTCCTCCAGGAATTCAAGGATGCATGCATAGCACTCTTCCCTCCTATTTTCCTCCAGCAACAATCTTGAAGTAGGACTCAAATTTTTGAAAAAAAATATGTTTAGGTTTGAATTTTCACCTACAAATTTTCAAGATATTTCACCCCTTCCCTGTGTATCATTTTGCTAGAATTTGTATGACAGCAGTCCCCTCATACCCACACTGGGTTACTCTGGTAGACAAGCAAAAGGATACAACCATGCATAACTGGAACTGCAAACCTATGGAGCTGAAAAACAGGAAAGGTGACATAATTGAAGAACTGTATCTTTAGTATTTAAAGTTATTGTCCAAGTAGTAAATAATGAATACAGAGTTGCAGAATTCTTTTCATTCCTAAAACAAGGATTATCTTTATAGGAAAATGCTGTCCTCTTATACATGTTTAGTGATACTTACTTATTCCACACAAATATATAGTTTTGAGCCTTATATATACTTTATTCAGTAATAGTTATAATAAGCTTCTAAGGTTGATACTACTTATCCTTACACTGCACACAGAAGAAATTCAGCACAAAGGCCTAATCTGCCCCACTTTCATTTCTCATCCATCCATCCATCCATCTATCCATCCATCCATCTACTTTTTCAATTTCTAAAGCTGCCATTTGCCAGTGACTCTGGCTGTGTGTTCTCTCCATTACAATTCCCCCAGAATTGAAAAATACTTAATTCTTGAATAATTGAGTATCATATTCAATCTGAAGGTGACTGGAGATAAGAATTCTACTCTGAACATTTAGAGGAAACTTCATCTCTTTGCCGAGGAGCAGATAGCTCTTAGAGATTTAGCTTAGTAGGTGCAGCTCAAGAGAGAAATTTCCTCTCCAAAGCCTCACATTGTATAATCTATTATGGGAATTTGAGAGCAACTGGCCAATAAACCACATCTGGCTCATTTCCTGAAGTCTTCTGACAAATTTTAGATGAAATGAAACGCAACACCCAAAGGCAATAAGGAAAATATCCAAAGACACACTCAACAATCATAAGAAAAATAGATCCATTCTGACATATGAGGAATATATCCACAAGAACTCTCAAAGTTAAAGGACTAATATTGACAGTATTTTAAAGATCTTTTTTTTATAAAGTTGGACTTGGAAACAATTTATAGTCCTCATTTAATTACTGACTTCCTTATGTTTGCCCCTCTCTTTTGCTACAACAATCTTTGGCTTAGAAACAGATTCTATATTACAGGTAGTCCTTGCTTAACAATAGTCACTGGAAAATTGGTCGTTAAACAGGGCAGTTGTTAAACGTGTCACCACATGATTGGACCTGATTTTACAACCATTTTTATGATGGTCATTAAGCAACTCATGTGGTTGTTAAGCAAATCCAGCTTCCCCAATGGACTTTTTTGCCAGAATTTGCTTAACAACCAAGTGATTTGCTTGACCGCAGTGATTCACTTAGTGACCATTGTAAAAAAGGTCACAAATTGCAATCATGTAACTGCAGGGGGGTGCAACAGTTTGTGACAGTCATAAGCACAAGTACAGGTTGTAAAGCACTTTTTCTGAGGCCGTCATAACTTTGAACCATCGTTAAGCAAGCACTACTTGTATTTTCTTATATTGGGGGAAGGCAGGGAGAGGAAAATCCAGGAGTTCCTTATATTTTTATAGTGCCATAAGGATATAACAATAAACTGACTGCTTGCAGGAGTATAAGATAATTCATTATATCATTTGTATATTATAAAAAGCATAAAACTGTATAGTATTCACAACCTGTAATAAAGCCATTGGTAAGAAAGTATTCTATATATGACAGTTTCAGAAGTATTATTCTGTTAAACCAACAGAGTTAATGAATTCATTTGATGGTCAACAGCTAACAAGAAGTTAACTTGTTTGCTGTCTATAGAAGAAAGGAATTAAAATGTTAGCTGACCTGAGAACTATTAATACTATATCTTGGCTGTGCATAATTGAAGAACTCTTTAATTAGCTGTGGAAGAAGACAACTAAACTGGCTTGTTTCTCAAATAACAAAACAGCCATCACAAATTCGAATTCTGAACCAACAGGTTTTCAAACAAATTAGGATTACAAAAGATGTCTAATTAACCACACCTTATTAAGATGGTTATAAAGTAGTATTACTCCTCCATTTTTACGGGCATGTATTCTGAATTTATTATTAAAACAAATGAATTCTCTTATACATCTTCACCAACTACTACTTTAGGATGAAGGATGGCATTTATCTCCTTTCACTATGTTGTGCTCTACAAAGGGTGAAATGAGCCTCAGTTACTTTTTTCTTAAAATCACTCCTGCAATATTTTGTCTGAATCTTAACAGACTCTAATACTCTATGGCATCATTTGCTGTTTGGTTTTTCATACCCTCATTCACGTTACAGCGTTATCAAAATTCCTAAAGGCTCTGCATTGCAACTATATTTTCTGTATTCTCTACCATATAGTGAGTGAAAGTCCTAAGCAGAGATTTAGTTGCAGTAACTGCAGAAGCATTAAAATAAAATATTGGAAGTTCACAAAAATGAAGTTTCTCTCACTACTTGAAGGGATTTGAGGGCAAAGAATGCTTCATATCAACTTGTACTGTACCGTGTCAAGAAAGCTAGGGCTTGCTTCTCATGTATTGAAAAAGGAATGTGTGCAAGGTGACAGAAACAAGCACTATTGCTCCACACCTTCTACTCCCCCCTGTCCAGGTTGACTAGAGGAGTTCTACTGGAAGGATGTAAGGATGTTTATCTAAATACGGTTAACACCCTCCATAAGAACCTAGTCACGGCACTATGTTCATGTCCTACAGAAAGCTGCATTCGCAAAAAATGATGACCCCTTCCTATACACATTTCCATCAGAACAGGGAAGTCATAAAGAAAGAGCTGTAGCAAGTGTTCCCCTAAGCCTCCCAGTTTTAAAAATGTATTTCCTTAGCCAATTGCATCATTGATACTACCAGTATAAATAAGCACACTGTATTGCTTCAGCCCATCTTTTCCTCTGAACTTTTGCACCTCACTGAAATTTTCAATGAGCCAAATGCTCACTAATTTCTATCAAATAAGGTTATTTTAAATTAAAATTAAACATAACCTTATTTGATAGAAATTAAACTAAATTAAATTAATTTTACATTTAAAATTAAATTAATGTTTATACCTGCAGCAAATTATCTAAGAACAACAAATAAAACTTCAGGCATGCTAACCAACTACATTAGAAGAGGATGAGTAGAAAGCTATAAAGACACAAATTAACGTTCAATGGTATTTTGGAGATTATGTCCAGCAGAATGAATTACCTCAGGCTGAGCAGCAAGTTCTCTAAGAAGGTGCCCATTCCATACAAACCGTGGATCTGCCTGTAAAAAATTGAAGCAGAGGCATATTTAAAAACCAAGTGTCTTGTATTAAAGTATGGGCTATATTTAGATTTAAGAGCAGAACCACAGAAAGCCACCAGAACAAAGCAAATCAGGATTTAATGCATGATGAAATCCAATCAGGTAATGGGCCTTTTCTCTCCTTCTGCAGCTTCCCATCTTCTTTCAAATATGCTTCAGAGTGCCCTCTAAATAGTATGGAGCAGATCTGGAGGAAATGTATGGGTCTCTGGGAAGAGAGCATGATTGTCCTTTCCAATTGCACTGATGGAAGCAGTTTTATCAGTGGAAAAATGACAGTAGATTTCAATTGATCTCCAAGGATGACTAAATATGGAACCAACCCAACTTTCCAAAAATATAAATAAGAAAAATACCCAGGAAGACTAAGAATGTAGAGTTAATAACCATGGATTCACAAAATTATTGAACGGTCTATTTAAGAACCATCAGGCTTTCTTGAAACATTATACCTTGGCCACTATGACATTAAAAATTAAAACTTCCTCACTGACAGTTCAAAAACAAAGATAATCTACTCAACATAAATACACACTCTCTCTCCCTCTTTTTCTCTGTATATAATTTCTTGTCTTTCTAAAAATTGGATACAAACATTCTTACCCTCTCTAGCAAGCTCATTTCTTGAAACTCTGGGCTGGTATTAGCCAACCGTTGCAAGGTGTGTGTCAAGTCATATGTTGTAGAAAAATAAAATCCATCCACACTCAATATATGACTCATCATTGCTAAAAAGACTTTATTATCCTGTAACTGATAAGTGAAAAAGCACTGTTATTTATTCATTTTTGTCACTTTAATTACTAAGAGTTCATAATATTTGATGAAGAGCTCTAGCAGAAAATCTTCAAAAGTTTTTCTTTTCTTGGGGAGGCAGAAATACAGCATTCCCTCATTACAGTATAATCCAGCTCCATTTGTATTACAGGTCATTAAAGTAATGCATGATTTTGAGGCTTCAGAAAAACAGAAAATATAATCATACCAGGCTATACAGGGTTATTCGCATACCTATTCCCCCCCCCCAAAATTGGCAAGCTAATATACTAAGCTTAAAATAATCACGCTAAAAATCTAAACTTAAAGATTATTATGCTAAAAAAAACCAAACAAACATAGATCCTTTTTCAGTTAAAACTACAAACAGTCATTTTGGAATGGCTTTGAAACTGTTCAAGATCCAAAGAATTACAAAATAATTCTGTTGAAAGCTCCTATAATTATACTCCCTTATTCTTATTACACTGCAAATTATATCAGGAACCTAAAGCTAGATTCATCATGCCTTTATTAATCCAATTGAATCAGTCTAGTTTAGAAGAAAAAAAATCTATTTTCTGTTGACTGATGTAAATGAACATGTAACAAGTTGCCTTGTTTCCAACGGCCACAAGGAAGATATGAAAGCAGATGTTGACAAATAGCGCTGTTAATATTATAGGGGATGGGAACAATCCATACAACTGATATGGATTGTTGTAATTTTATAGGAATTTTGCTAAAACCTATGGTTGTAAATAAATGTATATACATACTCCCTTATACAGTACAGAATTTTAGTCTGTAAAGCTTTTCAAGTTGCATTGGAAAAGTCTGCTCTCATGGGGTCGCTTGGTTCCCAATTAATGGATTAGTTGCTGAATTTCAGAGAAATTATATGTTCAATTTGTCAGTAATCATGTTTCTTGAACAAACATTTATAGGATTAAATATTTTCATTTTATTTTACATGTCTACAGGAAATTTCTGAAACAATCAAAACATATTAACTCATACCTGAATATCAGTTAAATGTAGCATTGTCTTTTTATAAGAGAGGATGTCAAAATCAGTTGCTTTCCAGACTACATGATTGAAAAATTCACCTACTTTTCTCTTTTTTGTTATTACAATAAGGTATGTGCCTGTAAAATAACAGGATACTGGTCAGCTATGACAGTTGTTCTTCTACTTCTCTTGTTTTTTGTAAAAAAGAGATAGAGGAAGGATGGGCAGAGGGATTGAACCCCATTTCCCCCCCCCCAATTATTCATATTGTTATTACCATATTCTTTAGACCACTCCCTCCCTCCAGGCAGACAGTCTTAAGAGCTGGACATAATTTCCTTTTATCACAAAGCCTAGTTGATTTCCTACCCCAAAGATATATCCATAAACTGAGGTTCTACTGTATGGCTGACATTCCAGTTTTCTAAAGACCTTAATTTTTTAAAAAAACATTCCAGCTATACATTTTAATCCATGGGTACACAACCTAGGGTCCATAGGCTGCATACAGGTCACCAGGTAGCCAAGGGAGCCCTGCACTTTCCCCCAAATTCTGCTGGTGCCACTGCTATCATCCTGATTCCTCACTCCCTTCTCCTTAAACTACCTCACTGGTAGTTTCCAAAATCTTCTACATCCCCGCTTCTTTTCTCCCAGAGGAAACATATTTGTTCTGTGCCTTTCTCTTTCTCCTCTCTTATTTTTCCCAACCAGCACCCCTCCACTTGCAATGTCAAAATTAATTTATTTTTTGTCCTGCCCCCACTTTTATCTTTCTGATATGGGCCTACTTCATTTACAGCATGATTTTCAGAGAGATTAAAATTGCACACCCCATTCTAATCTGTTTGCCATTTCAGAAGGCAGCAAGTAAAGTATTATTCTATGTGTATAAAAAGGTATACCACTATAGATTAACCCACAACAGGATGTGCTGATTACATGCAACATGACTTTAGTAATACAAAAAAAGAGTTTCAGAATACACATTTAACCAACTAGCAATCTGAAGTAACACAAAACACTGAATATACACTTACAGATCCTCTAGAAAGCAATGCTCAGATTGCATCTGAACTAACAAAATATTCATTTTAATAAATGTATAGAGTTGTAGTCCAAATTCTCTTCCTACCCTTTGCTACTGAAGCAGCATAATAGACTAAATTTTGACCATTTAAATATACCCAATCTTCACTTTTAAATGTATTGCACTTGCTTTGGGTTTTTTTATCTGTCTTTATCAATAGAATAATTATGGTATAGAATAATTGTTACTTAATAACTATTAAGTAAGAGTTATCAGTGTTCTGGCTGCAATTTTCTTTCACTTCTTCTGAAAGCCTCATCCCTGCCACTAGACGGATTGTTCCCAAAATACCGCATATTTGCCTGGTAATAGCTGAAGGTGGAACATCTTTTTTAACTGCAAAGGAAAAACAGCATGAACTGTCATATGAAACCTTGCAAGATCTAATAATACTGTTTAAATCACACTGTGTATATAATAAATAACTTCTTATTAAAATCAAGCATGAAAGTTAACCCAAAGGAGTACAATTAGTGCTTTAACATGTCATTTACAAATGATATGACATTTTTATTTACTTCACTAATTCCAGAAGGTTAAAATCTCAAAATCAACACTGCACTTAATAGTAACTGATGTTAGTACTACGTCATTAGTTGTACTAGCATGATCCAGACTTTGACATATTTAGACTCAAAAAACACACTTTAGAATTAAATTAATAATTATTAACACCCCTACCCCCTGATTTAAATGAGTCTGTTCTTAGTATGAAAAGTCCAGATTGAACCTATTGTCTTTTCTGTGAAGAACTGTGCGTGGCTAGATAGGACTGCTTTTTCACTACATAAAATAATTGGCCTGGGAGCTCTAATTTAATAATAAGCAGAAAACATCCAGGGGAATAAATAAAATCATTAAAATGCCAATGTTAAAGAATGTAAACTAATTCCAGAATATATTATCTAAATCAGGCTTCTACAACATGGATACTATAGCTGCCAGAATTTCCTGCCACTAATTAAACTGATTTAATAGTCATTCTCAGAGAAGCCTGAAGTTATTATTCAGGCCTGGAGTTATTATTATTTCAGGGTTCTCTAACTGACTCTCTGTGGAAAGCAACAACACAACTGAAGTGGCAAAACCAATATAATAAAACAGACATCACATGTCCTTGTAAGCAGTAAAATATGCCTAGCAGATCCAGATGTAACTAGCTCAACAATGGAATCCCCTCCTTCCTTTGACATGCACATGCCAAATATAAGATAGAATTACTTCTTCCTGCCTTGAATATCACAAACTTCTTTTTTAGTGATATAATACAGCCAAGAAGCTAACTAGATCCTCTTCAGCTCTACAAGTTCACTTTAAAGAGAACTTTCCAAAAGCTTGTATGTTCAGGAATTAGCCTGCACACATAAGACATACACACATTAGCTTCTGCAATTTTGATGAGATTCCCATTTTGTGCAGGTAAATGAAAATATGTAACTATGAATTTGTTTTGCAAAATATGTCATTGTGAATGAGAAAGAGTAGTGGATAGCATATTAATATGGCCCTGATGTTGCAGACAATTTTTGCTACAAATGCCACATTAGAAAATGTTTAAAGTCAGGGTGAAAAAATACCTGTAAGAGTGATTTCTGTGGATACTCTGTCAATGGTAAGTACATCATCTGCTCCATCATCACAAGCTTCCACATAAAATTTCTCTGGTGTTATGTGTCTAAGATACAAGAAATATATAAGATTACAGACAAGCAGCAGAATGTTAGTATTCCAAAGAATGCTTATATATATATTCTATATATAAGGACTAATATTAGCAGTCCTTGGAATGTTGTATTTCCATTTTGCAGAATAGTAAAAGCAAATAATGATTACATATTAATCATCTGTTTTAAAAAAAGTTCAGGATTACTCAGGTGTCCAGGTATTTGATCCTCAAATGCCCATGTCAAAATATCTTTGAAACAATATGAAATTCAAAAGCTTTGTTATTATGCAGCATCTGTTTTGTCACTTAAATCTTTCTATTGGGGTTTATTAATTCTGTTGCCATGTATTTTTGCACCATCTAGTTGATCTCCTAATTCTTTAGTTTGTCTTTCCTGCTTCTCTCTAATCTACTCCCTATTTGCCAATATTGTTTTAGTCGTGGTAGTAAAATAATATGTAAATAGTGATAGGTAGATACATCAAAATGGCTGCACAATGGTGTGATCTAAGAAAAGTTTAAATAGCCCTGCAGTCATTTATTCATTCATTGGTCATGGGCAAACCAAAGAGTTTAAATATATTTTAAATAACATATAACCTTCTTCTTTGCCACGAGAGCAACTACTGTAATGGATTTTCATTTTTATGTTCACTGGAAATGGCAGCAATCCAGAAAGTTAAAAAGAAAAGAGGGATTTCAGTTCCGATTTCAGTGAGAAAACAACTGACTATATTTTACTGTTAGCATAATAACAATTATGCTTTTTTATTTTCAGTAAAACTGAAACGTTCACAGCTTCAAACAGAATACCAAATGATAAGCAGAAACAAGTAGGTTCAAAAAGATTTCAAAATGATGAGACAGAGGTAGATTTCAAACGTATGTTATTCAAAAGAAAAAAATAGCTCAATTTTGTTAAACTGTAAGTGGAGTGAAAGCAGAAGAAAATCAAAGTTTAAAAATACATAAGAGAACTGCAGACATCAGAATCCATTATGCTGACAGAAGTCCCTCATAAGACACTCATAACTGACTACAAAGAGCATTACCAAGGATAGTTAGGCATTAACAGGCATATCAGGTGGAAATGTAGTGATTTGAGCTTCCAAATTTTCTGACTTCCTTTTCTTCTCATCTTTTTCCATTCCCTGTGGCAGTGTTTCTCAACCTCAGCAACTTTAAGAACTGTGGACTTCAACTCCCAGAATTTCCCCAGCCAGCAGAGTCCCTTATAACATTGATTATGCCCTTGTGGATTGAGCATAGTGAATCCCTGAGCCATGTTATTATACTGACTCTTCTACAGAGATATTAGGAAGAGGTACTTTGTACCTCTTTTAGTGGACTTCCCAGGACATACAGACCTTTTATATATTCAACTATGGCTAGCTGATCAGGACAATCTTACATCTCTGGCAATAGTTAAATTCTGCTTTGCTACCTTTAAAATCAAAAGCCAAATTCTGATCCATCAAGAGAAATACTTTGCCCTAGATAAAAAATCCTAACTGTTTACAGTCTTTTCCTTCTCTTTTAGTCAGCTTTTAAACAACAACAAAACATGGTTTTTCTTTTCCTTTTGTTTTTTTCTTTCTATATTTTGGTCTATAACCATAAATTGGGGGGGGGGCAAAACTGAACAGCACCAATGAAAGAGGATACCTTCTTAGTAGAGCCTTCCTTTGCAGGTAGTCCCCAGTTTAAGAACAAGTTCTGTTCCCAAGATCTGTCCTTAAATCAAATTTGTATGTAAGCCGGAACAGTATTATTGTATAATACTGTATAAGTGGTATAGTGTAATTAACTCGAACCATTGTGTAATTAACTCAAATCATTGTGTATTTAACTTGAATTTTGCTACAATAGGCTCCCTTCTTAACTATCATACTTAAACTGGGCATTCTTAAGCCAGGGACTACCATACTCTATTAATCCTGCTACTGTTCCTCCTTTCACAACATTAGTCAGAAATCAGTGGAACTCACTTCTCCACCTCACTATGCAGTTAATGTTTAAACAGGATAGCCACAAAAACATTGGTTCTTTTTTGGAACAAAACTGGATTTGATTGATTTAAAGCATTTATAGCTATTCTTTAGTCAGAAGGGCCTCAGAAAAAGTTACAGATCAACAAAAACAAAAAAGTATCTGCCCTCAAGACCTACAATCTGAAAAAAGGACAAGAGAGAGAGAGAGAGAGAGAGAGAAGAAGAGAGAGAAAAAATAAAATAGGAACAACCAACACAAATTTGCAATGTAATAGAGATTTTATACTGACCAGTTGATACAGTTACTAGACCTGGAAGCTGGTTTTGGTTTTAGAACTAGTTCCTCAGTTGACCAGCTTGAAGTTATTTTGCTCTGTATAGAACAGTACAAGTGGCAAAACCTAAAAATCTCAGTACCTCAGTGAAATTGATGGTGTAGCTTTCTGGCAACATTTAAAAAGCACAACATCCCAGTGTTATTTCTGGAAACATTTAAAAGCCACAAAATCTCACCTGCAATGATATGACGCAAGAGGTAGTGTTGTGCTGCACAGACACACCACTTTGAACAATTAACACTCATCTGGGATTTCTATATTCCCCAAAGGACCTCTCCCCTCCCTCTCCTGCACAATTAAATAGAAAGATATTATGGATTGACTCTTTAGGTGCTCTAATGGCACCTAAAGATAGCATTGCATTAAATATCATTTAAAGATCCTTTCAGCTTTCATTATGCCAAACTTGATTTCAGTAATGCACATATTTTCTTCAAGAATGTTCAATATTATCTTATTTTTTAAAAAACAATGCTGGCTACCACATATTAAGAATCCAGAAAAAAGCAATTCTACACTGGACAATACAGATGGAGCTCCCTTTGTGAATTTCAGCCAGTTTAATTTTCAGCTTAAGTTACCAGGATATTATTGTGAAGATAAAATGGAGGGGGGGAGCCCCCATTTGCTCTGTCTTGAATGACAAACACAATACAAATGTAATCATAAAAACACTTCCTAATAGTTGCAGTAAATGGCAGCGTTTAGCCAAACCTGGCTGATCTCAAAATATCTGGATGGGAGATTACCAGGAAATCCCAGAGCTATAAACTAGACTGAGAAATCATGAAAATGCCTCAGAAGTGTGAAATGACAAACCTGAGCCTAGGTCTCCCATAATTTCTTATATTTATTTTCCACCTTCCTTCAGACGCCTAAGGCAGCATACTGATTCACATGCCCCCAATTAAACTTTGATCCACCCCTTTTTATCTTCACAGTAATATTACAAGGTTGCAAAAAAATACTGACCTAAAGTCACTCAATGAGCTTTACGTATTGAATGGGGATTTGAAGCTGGCCTGGGACAGTGATCTAATCATGATCAGTAGTCAACTTTGCAAATAAGGAGCTTCATTTGCTCTTTATGCCAGGCAGGATAATGAGGCAACAGGATGAAAGAACAAGTTGGAGTCTAATGGGAATCAGATTTGGGTCATATGATGGACAATGGGCAGGAACAAAATAAACTGGGCACATCTGAACTCAGAAGCTGTTCATAAAAAAGTAGCCAAGATGTGTCACCCCATACTAGAACTTAGGGCCTATTTGTAAAGTGAATTAACATAAATAACTTGTCATATTAATGTTCTTGAGTACTTGTCAATCCTCTAAGCAAAGAGCAAAGACACAATTTCATTAATAAACAAACATGTAAGACTGAATCCTATTTTGCATGTGAAGTTTTCCACTTTTCTATATTACCATTAGAAACTAATTGTGGTAGCTTTGTAGGTTGTGCTTCTCAAATGGAAAAGGAAAGAAAATTATTGTTTGCTCATGCAAAAGATAGAAAAAATTATAGTTAAAAAGAGTAATTCTAGAAATCTAAACACAAAGTAGGAGTTCCCTATTGGAGACCAAAATCAGTGATCGTATTGTTGAATCTGTAAACAAATTGAGTAATTCAGTGGAACTGTTTCCAAGATAAAACTAATAGGCCAACATACAAGTTGGTCAGCAACCACAAGCCTAGAAATGATTGCAAATGTAGAAAAAAATTAGAGTGTTTCTTATTTTTCTTGGTTGAGGAAGAGGCACTGAAGGACACAAAGCAAATCTGAAAGTTCATAAAAGAGTAAACGGAATTTCTATCACTGTCTCATAGTCACATGGAGGTGGCAATTGGAACAAGAAAGATGAAAGATGGATATTAATGTACCTCACATTGCAGCAGATTTATTAGCAACTATGTAAAACATATTGCCATGCTGATATGAATAATTTACTGCATTCTGTCAAAACCTTAATGTACTCTAATTCCTATTGTGGGAAAGACCGGGGAGGGAAAATGTATACTTCTTTTAAGAGTCAAAGTCTGTTTTCAAAACCATGAGAACAAGCACATAAAATGCCTATACAAAACTCCTTTCTCAAAATCTCTTCCTGTTCGCAGTTTCAAATGTAGGGTATGTGCCCTTTATATGAATCTCTGTCATTATGTACTAATATTGAATACTTTTAATAGTAAATCAAAAGGAATACAAATGCCATGATGTTCTGAAAAACAGCTTTGCATCTAGCAAGGAAAGGTAAACATGTTTTTCTTGATACAGTATAATTTTGAACTACAAAATTATCATAAGAATGTCTGATGGGATGAAAAAACAGTGTGTATGAACAGGAATAGCAATATGGTTACAATTTATATACATTTATTGCTGATTTCATAATATGAGTTGTATGCTCTTGATTATAACAGAGGAAATACTTCAATAATGTGTCTTGTAAATGAAAACTATTGTCAAATGAATTTATTCTAGCTATTCAGGACAATGAGAACACCAGAGGCTTTTCTTTTAGGATTGATGGACAAACAGTTGGAAAAAAAGTTATGGAACTTTGTTTTTGTACATAACTGCAGTGAGATTATTGTATGCACAAAGATGGAAATATTGGGCACCACCCACAATGGAGGAATGGTTGGTGAAGATGATGAAACTTGCTGAAATGGCTAAAT